AGAACCTATGATGTTCAACTATCATCTTTTTATATCTTAAATACTAAGATGACTGACCTTCCTGAATTCTTATGATATCTATCTCTACTGATTTTTATGGGTCATAGACACGATGGAAATTCAAAATCTATCCACATTCCTATAAATGATAAATCTTGTAATAATTTAATATATAATTTTGCAAACAAATTCAATCTGAGGTATGTTGTACACTTTTAGCAAGAATCTATTTTCATTGGATTTTAATTTTAATCCTCAACAAATCTTTTGTTGCTAATTTTTTGTCTTATCATTCGTGTTTGTTCCGTCATTTGTAGATGATGTAACTGTCTCTTATTGAAGAAGAGCTTTGAAAATGATGGTTTAACATATACTCTGACATTTCTTCCTCCCCCATCGCTACTGGTAATCTCAATTTCTATTGACTTTCTGTTGCCACTAACATTATCATCATCTACTACAGTGTGCATTATTTTGCCATTTTAAAAGCTCAATACTTTGTTCCTCTGAATATCTTTTTTTAGTTATTTTCCTTTTAACTGTTTATAAAAGCTCATCTCATCTTATGAAAAGATTTCCCTGTGATGTGCACAACAACTAAAGATGCAAAACTTTCCTATTATTGTTTTATTTCTTTGAAAAGTTGAAGTCTTAGTTATGCAGTCAATACATATGAAATAGACATTTAATACTTTCAAAATTGTATTGGACAGACATTATAATTATGTTTTTGCTCTTCTTAGTCAGCACGTTCAATTTATATATATATATATTATTTTTTATTTTTTCTAAATGACATCTTATTATTAGTTTCATCAAATTTATATTATTCTTTATTTTTGCTTTATGCTTGTGACAAAATGTAGCTACCGTTAACTTATCAGATGAGGTGATGTGTGTGTGTGTGTGTGTATGGCATCTCATTATTAATTTCATCAAATTTATATTATTCTTTATTTTTGCTTTATGCTTGTGTCAAAATGTAGCTACCGTTAACTTATCAGATGAGGTACATCGGGTTTTTGTATCGGTCGCTCCAACGAAGAATATTTCATTTCCTTTTCTCATATCATAAAAAACATATATGAAGGGAGTTTAATGGGGATATTCATTTAGAAGTGCTTTTGTGTGTTTGAAATTTTCAACGAATGCTTAATATTGTGAGAACTGTACCTTCTATAATGCCTCTATGTAAGTTCATATTCTAAAATATTTATATTCCATTTTTTAAATTTAGTATTATTTTGTTACATCGTCTTCCTGATTACATTGTTATATGCAATCACTTTTAACTACGTTAACAATGCAAAAGATGGAGTTTATTCATGTATCCATACATATTTTCACCCCCATCCTACAAAAAATAAAAAAAATTGAATAGTTACTGTCTTGAATTTCATAAATTTTTTATTTCCCTACAAATTTACTGACTTCAACTTTATGTGATCTACAAGTAAATATTAATAATTACTGTCCTTTATTTCTTTTTTCTATTCTACAACTAAAAATGAATAGTTACTATCATTAATTTCTTGTCGCCCCCACATCCTACAAAAAAAATAAAAAATAAAAAATTGAATAGTTACTCACTTGAATTTCATAAATTGTTTATTTCCCTGCAAATTTACTGACTTCCATTTTATGTGTTCTACAAGTAAACATTAATTATTACTGTCCTTTATTTCTTTTTTCTATTCTACAGCTAAAAATGAATAGTTTATGTCCTTAATTTCGTGTGAAACTAAATTTGTGTGGCCTTTTCAGTCAACGTGAATCTCATACCCACCACAGTACTGTCTATCCATTCAGGCATTCACCTACTTTTACACCTTACGTTTGCATGTCTATGTGTGTCTATGTGTGTGTACACACACATCTATATATTAAAAAACATATATATACTGCTACATATAACACTTGTAAAAACATTGCTCAGTTCATCCTACGTTTTACAAATTATTACTTGAACAAGGTAGACATTTTCTCTCTTACTTTAAATTACATTTATTTCTTTAACAAATACGAAATAGTAGTTACTGCCATAATGCTATTTTTTCAATTATTCATCGTTCGTTCATCATGCTTTTGCATTCTAACTATTTTGTATTTTCTGATTTATATTTTTTCCAGAAACCATGGCACCAAATCACAAACTATCCCTGATATTGTACCACTAGAAATTGGATGGACATGTAAGGTAGTGGTTGTGGAAAAAACGGCTCCAAGAACATCACAAAAAGGAAATTGAATGTATCAACACCTTTGGCTACTAGATACTGAGGTAATATTTTCCCAGTACAAATTTTTTCCCGTTTATTTTAAATCACATTATGAACAAAATATATATTCAAGCTTCTGTGGTGTATTTTACATAGTTTCATTTCCATATTTTGGTAAGTTTGCTAATTACAATTATCCGCTACATTTGCACATTAATAATTTGTGTAGGAAAACAAAGTCCAAGAAACAATATTTGCTCAAAATGTCAAGGCTCTTGAAAATACTTTGTACCATCGAAGACATACTTGATCTCAAATGCATATGTCAAGCAAACGGATGAATGATTTAGATCAACTTTTGGAGATAAACAGTGGACAATTAGTGGTTCAACCCGAATTGAAGAATTAAATGAAGACCATAGCCCTCTTGTGGAATCGTGTTTTCATTTTACACCATTTGACGAACTTGAAAACTACATTGATATGGACCACGAAGTAGGTAAGTCTTACTACTAAACATAGATAAGAAATACTTACCCATGTTTTTCTACACGGCATTTGTTGGCATTGCTGTTGATGTTAGTCCAAAACGAAGAATTTTTACCAACAAAAATGCAGATTCCATAGTCCAAGACATTGTTCTTATCAACGAAAGTTATGCATACATAAATATGAATTTTTAAATACAAAGTAATAGTGTTCTAATTCATGCAACTAATCTGGAATTTTATATCTTCATTAGCAATTATCCTGACTATCTGGGACAATTTTATCGACCATGAAGGCGCTGAAATTGTTGACTGCCTTATGAAATAACCAGTGATTGTTGGAAATCATTTAGAAGTCACATCTTTTAGAGGTAAATCAAATCAGAATTTTATCTTTACATTTGATAAACCAGTGTTCTTAACTCAGTATAACTTAGTTACATAATTATATTTTATTGAACATGAATGTCACTATCCACAAAAGCAAACAGTTCAATCCTCATTAATCTGAAATTCCAAAAACTTGCTGAAATAAAAGAATGGTTAGTATGCAAATATTTTTTGTACAATCTTTACATCCTCATTCGTTACTTAAATTTATAACTTCTACTTTTTTACAAGGATTGAAAGAAACAAAGAGATGTTAACAGAGATGGTCACTCAAAGAACATATAAATTGCTGAATACATCAACTAGTTCGCCACCTCCGATGAATAAAATTATCAACATTAAGGACATTTTAGAACACTCACAAACGGTAAATGAAATACTAATACTGAAAATAAGACCATTTTTATTTAGTTTCTATTTCGTTTCATTTCTTCATAAATGGGGATTTACTTTCGCAAAAATGGTAACACTCCTTCTACCCGTTTCAGCGCAAACCATCATGGATAAAAGGAAAGATCGAATTGAAGACAGGTACCCAATCACTTTGGTATATGGCATGTGATACTTGTGGTGGGATGTCTTTCGTTCAACTCAATGAAATGTATTCTTGCAACTATTGCAAATACATGCATGCCAAAGCAATTCCAAGGTAATAAACAATACATGTCAAATTATGTACACCAAATGATCACTCTACATATAGTTTCATTTCTATTAATTTCAAGTGCATGATACTACCAATGTATGTCTCTGCCAGAGCAAGATGCAATGTTCTAATTTCAGATGACACCAGCACTATTACTGCATCTTTATTCGGTGATGTGGCTGAAAAATTCTTGCAATTTTTCGCTGAGAAACTAATGAAAGACAATATAACGATACAATTTTTCCTATGAATTGTTACATTACATTTACTAGTATTTTCCATTTACATTCACAAGTATGTTAAACATTTTATGTTCTTCATACAGGCGGAGCACTTCATCAATGCTCAAAACTCCAATTGTGAAATCAAGACCATTTTATTTACATGAAATTTGGAAACCCAGATCCAAAAACCAATCAATCAAGATTCGATGTCATCTATGTTCTTTAGAACAGCTCTGCCCATGCACAAAAATCTACATCTTGTCTCCATATCAGCTCAAAGAAAAAAATGTCTCATATTGCAGCAGTCTACCTAATGCACGATGGACCCTGGTGTTCGAAAAGGAAAATATTGAACAACTGAAAAAGCAGGAAATGGCAATGACCAGTGATCGTAATGTTGAAAACAGCGACGTAAATCCACCAATCACTACTGCTGATCCAATGAAGAACTAACTCTACCAGTTGAAGTACCACTGAAATTACTTTCATTTTGTTATTCTAAAATCCAACTTTTTAGCTGCAAGACTTTTGTACATCCTATCGTATTATAGTCTGTTGATACATTTCATAGAATTCAGCTTGGTTTCTGGAAGCTTGCTTTTTGCTTATCAACTGGGGATCAATATGTAAATTTGATATAAAAATAAATAAAGTTAGCATATTTATGAAATCTGATTATTCACATATTTTGTTTCATCATGTACAACCATTTAGCATTATTGACACTATACAACTAAATCTTAAATAATCTAAAATAGAGCATTGTTATAACAAAATCTATACCCAAATTATAATAGTCATCGTGTAGCGCACGATCCTCCACTAGTAAAAAGTAAAAAAGTAAAAAATTACTGACCTAATTGAACGTTTTCTGAAAGATCAGTGACTGTACGTGAAAGAAATGTTGAATAAAAGTCTCATGACTCCGCTGGTACAAATATCACGATCTGCAGACTCGCATTAATCCACGAGTCTCTTTCTTCACTGCTTTTCTTTAGAAGGTTAAACAATCCAAACAATAATTTTGACGAAAATGTCGAGATCGTGGATTTGCATTGCATTTGGCACCTTAGCGTTGTTCTTGTTCGCGTCTGCCTTTGCGGACAACGTTGTAGTACTCACTGAGGACAACTTCGAGAAAGAGGTGGGTCAAGATCGCGGCGCTTTGGTCGAGTTTTACGCACCGTGGTATGAACCACTTACTTATTGGATTACTGGTTTCAGTGAACTTTAATTCAATTGTATATGTGTGTATAAGTGGTTGGATTGTTCGTGATTCATTTTTTTTGTTTTCTACTAGATCTTTCATTTCTGAGCTCGTCTTGATCGATCTAGATCTGAGTTTTATTGGATTTTGATATTTTCTCTCTAGATCCTTTTATTTGGTGTCTTAATTGTTTGTTTGTACTTTTAAGTAATTTAGGGTATATGTTTTTCTCTACCAGTTCATTTTGTTATGAACAAGACGAAATTTTCACTCTTTGGGTTATAAAAATCTTGGATGCTGAAGGAATGAGTGAAGAATAAATATTAATTGAATTAGTTTGTAGAAATTCTCGGAATTCTTGTTGCTTCCGTGTAGGTGTAGATGAATTGAAGACATATGTGATATATTGTTCCTATGCAGGTGTGGGCACTGTAAAAAGCTTGCTCCAGAGTATGAAAAGCTTGGTGAGAGTTTCAAGAAGGCTAAATCTGTTTTGATTGGCAAGGTTAGCCTTTTTTGTGTTTGGCGTGCTTATAAGTTATTAGTTGTGCTCTTGAAATATTCCCTGAAAGATTCTGTTTTTCTATCTGAAATGGAACTTCACACCATGCTCAACTAAGAATGCACTGCTCTTGTTAATTGAAACTTCGTCTATGTATTGTATTCCTTGCAATATGTCATTCCTCTGATTTATCCTAAATGGGATCATCTCCACTTACCAATGTTTAACCTCAGTTCTTATCTTATTATTATACAATATCAAAAATACATTTAACATTTCTTATTTCTACCAGTCTTTTGATTTCCCAAACTCTAAAATAAGATAAAGCATATCTAGTCTAATAATGGCTCCATAGAATCTATTTTTTAACTAGCACCATAGGTATCTTAGCTTTTATCCATGTTTTCTATCTCGCTCACGTTATTTTTGAGTCATCCTCCTTTATTGAATGAAATAAAATGTTAAAAATTATAAGTTCACATGATTGTAGCTCTTCTGGGTAAAAGCATAAAAATGACTAGTCTGGCCTTCAGGCTTCAACAAGTTGGAGAAAGTTCTAGTAATGGGTTCAAAGTATCAGCTAGTTGTTTTATGGATTATGCTAACTGATTTACCATCCTTTTCTTAATTGTTGCTTGGTTTTTAACTGAAGTAAAATCATTACATAATTATTTATCATGCTTGATTGTGGCTTGATTGAGATTCTCTCAACTGAAGGATAAGTGGTCATCTATGAGTACGTGTTATCATTTAATTTTCTCTAGGTAAGTGTTATCATTTAATTTTCTTTTAAAAGTCATAAATGCGAAAAAAGATTTAATTTTTTTCTTCACATTAATCAACATCAATTACTTATTATTTTAAAATAATTTGTGCTTAATAAAAATATAAGACAACTAAATTGAATGTTAACTTTATTTACAAAACGAATTCAATATTTAACTTTGATTATACAAAGTCAATGTCCCTACAAGTCATCATTTTGAATCATTTTGACTTCATCTGAAAATGAGAAGGAATGACGTGGAATGAGATAACAATCAGTAAGCAAACTTCGTGCATATGATGCAGGATTATGATATGCATATGAATTACTTTAAATAAAAATATATCAATATGTATCCTCTTTTTCTTTTTCATTCATTTTTTTAAAAACCTTATTGACGTTGTGAGCTCATTTGGTGTCTTTCTTAGACAATCAGAATACAGTGAGCAATTATTATTTAGAACTCGATTCATTCTACCTGTAGTATTGCAAGGTGATTAACATTATCATTGAAAATTGAACATTGGTCGGGTGCGTCAATCCCCACACCCCATTTCCCACTCACACCTTTCATAGTATAGATATACACCTTGTGATAAAAACATTCAGGATACATATCTTTTTGAAATAGTCCTTAACTCATTGACATTTGAAAACTTTTTATTTCTTGAAATTTCATGTATGCTTATGAATGCATTGACATGTATAAATATGTCATAAAAAGCATTTATGACATAAAAAGTAATGATCAAATATCATGTTCATGGGCAATTTAAGTAACACGTTTGTACATTTAACCATATGACGTACGTATGAAAATAAGAGGAGGTTTACTTACCTGAAATCCCTGACAATTTATTATTCTATTTTTATTTATTATTATTTTTTTTAGCAAATGAAGATGTCCCTGGCTTTCGACAGCAATGTGCCATGAGTCCTATTTCATTTTCATTTATTTAGGAACTTGTACATATTCTTTATTTTTAACCACTTACACATGGCTTAAATATTATATCACACTATTTTCTATTGTATTATTTTATTTTAAATTTATGCGCTACAAATATAAGAACATAAACATGTTTAACAATGTTACATTAATCAAGTCAATAAAATAGAAATAAAATTTAGGTATACCAAAAAGGGGGCTAATTCCTTTAAATTTCTAACAAATTATGCTTTAAATTAGTGCAAGTTTGGTTCAATAATAGATTTTATGTATACAAAGCATTATGTAAATAGAAAATGCTGTGAATTAGCAAAGACCATAATGAAACTCAGTGTCAACAAAGGCATCTTTCGCCCAATTGATCTGGTTTGATTAATTATTCTTAGCATAATGAAGTTTAACTAATTAAGGATCAATGATTTTCTTTAATCGAGAACTAGGAACTATACCCCCTAAAATTAAATATTTAGGCAACTTCATCTTCTCTCCTAGTTAAGATTTATTATTCGTACATGAACTATTAATTTGAGTAATGCTACTTTTAAACGAACAAATTATTGAACAATTTATTCGGGTCAAGATCTTCTATATAATAAAAGTGGGCTATGTAACAGAATTTCTTGTTTTTAACGGAAAAACTAACGGAATTTGTTGTTTTAACGGACTATGTAACGGAATTTCTTGTTTTAAACAGGCAATTGCACCTTCCTTCAGTATTTTTATCATAACTTTGTATTCAGATATCCGATTGAGGCGATTCAAAATGCGTTGGAAAGCTAACTCATCTGGCTACAACTTTGATTCAGACATCATTCTCTAATTCGATCACTTTCTATGCCAAAAATATGTCTCAATATAACGGACTATGTAACGGAATTTTTTGTTTTAAACAGGCAGCTGCACCTTCTTTCAGTGTTTTTATCATAACTTTGTATTTATTTATCATAACTTTGTATTCCGATATCCGATTGAGACGATTCAAAATGCATTCGAAAACTAACTCATCTGGCTACAAGTTTGATTCAGACGTCATTCTCCAATTCGATCACTTTCTATGCCAAAAAAGGTCTCAATATGAGACTAAAATATCGGAGCATAACTTTTCGGTTGGAAATTGATTTGTGATCATCATTTGACTAAATTTGATTCCATTGACGTCTTCCTTTATCCAATTGACTCTGAGCACTCTCAAATCTTCATCGTGAGGTTCGGCACAACTTTTAAGTATTTACCTTTTAGTTCCCGAACTTTGGATCCCTTACAATTTAGTCATTTCTCTAAATTTGTCAACTTTTAAAAAAAAAAAAAAAAGATACTAAATAAGTGCTTAAGAAATCTTAAACAATCTTCAAAATTCATAACTGAACAATTTAAAATTTGCAAACAAAAACACAAAATGTTTTAGTAATAGTTGATTCCAATGGCGGTTCAATCAGAAAACATGAATTTTTAATGTTTTAGTAATAGTTGGAGGTTCAGCAGGCTATACCAGAATGGGATAATTAGAATTTTTAATATTTTGTGGGCCCACACCTAAAGCTGGAGAATTAAGGAGTGTGCACTCCACAAGGCTTGAGGCACCTCACTCAACTGAAGCATGTGCATCCCAAAACTGCCTCACAATTAGCACTTCCAGGCCCTTTTTTTTTGTTCCCTTCGTTTTGATGCGCACCTTAAGGCGGGCCTCAATGACAATTACATAAACATTACATCAAAATCACATATCTAATTATTTATCAATTACATAAACATTACATCATTAATTATTTAATTAACCAAAAAAATTACATCTTTATTAATAACAAATTAATTCTTAAACAAAACTATTAAATATAAACTAGGCAAACATGCATTGCACGTTGCTTGCACCTAGTAAACTTAAAATGAGTAGATTCCGTGTATCAAATTGCTAGAGGAATTTAACATAGAAATCCCTGAAATAATAGAAACATAAAAATAAATGCCCCTTTCTATGACCCCATCATAAAGATTTAATAGCGTAAAGATTTTCCTCTTGTTTAAACTGATCTCAAATAGAACATGAAATATAAGCTAAATATTTAATTTGCTAGGAACATGTAATCATCTAAGCATCAAGATCAATATCCATTTTATATAAACGAGTCATGATATATATAAGCATATTGACAAATATTATTCTAAAAAGTATATTATTAAACAATTAAAAGAAACTAACCTTGAGGAATGAGAACCGCTCATGTTTCTTAAAGTCGTCGGTGTTAAAATGATGATTAGAACATTTTTCTTAACTATAATAAAATCATGGAAGTGGAGAGAGTTTGTCTGATTTGTGGTTATAAGAGAGTGATTTTCATTTTGCAAATAATACAACAAGAAATGGGGGTAATCATTTTACATCTCCAGCATTGGAGGGATGGAAAAGTGTTAACTTTATTCTGCAAATCAAAGCGTCCAAATTAGAAAAGTCAATTTTCCAATTTAGGACATTCATTTCTGTCAATTAAAATAAAGTAGGGAACCACATTTTGCTTCCTTTAATTTATTCAATTACCAAATTAATGACTAATTATTGATAAAATTGACTTATATGGAGAAATGGATGCTTTAGGTCCGTTTTATGTAGAAAAAAGGGAATAACAGTTGATGAAATCATACTTAAAATAAATGCATTAAATCATAATTCACTCCTAACTCTAATAAAATTATGTGCATTTTATAATAAGTTTAGTATGTATGTCGATCATCTCGTGTGTCAAGGTACATTCCCCTATAATAACGAAGTTCATACGAAGATAATTATATTAATTAAACGATAAATATATCATTAGTGCAATTAATCTAGATAAACATGATAGTCACGAAAAATAAGCACTCGATGTTACAATTTTTTTGTGATTTCTGTCTCGATTTTGCTGAACATTACAGATATTTTTTATTTGGAAAATCAGCTAAGGAGATTAGATTAGTTGACCTGTTGAATTATGGCACTGTTTACTGGGAATAAGACTTTGTTGTAGTAGTTGTTATTAAATCATGGTTAAAAAGACGTATTCGGGTATGCGGAGTTTTTCTTCATGAGTCGAATAATATGAAAAGTCCCAAAAAAAAAAAAAAAAAGATACTAAATAAGTGCTTAAGAAATCTTAAACAATCTTCAAAATTCATAACTGAACAATTTAAAATTTGCAAACAAAAACACAAAATGTTTTAGTAATAGTTGATTCCAATGGCGGTTCAATCAGAAAACATGAATTTTTAATGTTTTAGTAATAGTTGGAGGTTCAGCAGGCTATACCAG